AATTAAAAAAATTGGATGATTTCATGTTCAACCCTTTCATTTAGTAATACCAGTTCTACTAGTTATACCTATCGCAACAGTTGTACTCAGTTCTCCTATTGCTGCAGTCTCGATCGACTCAATTCTTTCTAATTTACTTAGGATTTGCTACGATTTAACCACACAAATACATTCATTATAAATGCAAAGTCCTAATTGACCAATATTGCTAGCTTACAAACACAATGTGCACCTAAAATCAAATTCAAATATAATTCTTAAACGAAATTGCAAATCCCTAAATGATTACAATAAACCTCACTGATTTCTACTAGTATATTGGTTTATCTTACATGAAATGCAACATATCTACAAGAACCAAGATCTGAATTTCGAAGTTGCAGCTTCAATGGGGTTAGAGGCAGCGGCAGCAACAGAAGGAGCTCGGGGGAAGGAGCAAAATTTTGAGAAAAATAATCAATTTCTGTTTTGATGTTTAATTGTTTTAATTTTGAGTTAAAGGTATTTTTGGAATTGTCTATTTTATTAAACTGAGATGGGATCCAAGTGGTATGTAGATTATGTCTATTTTACAAATTGTCAGATTTTCCTAAAACAAATAAGAGTATCCCAGATCGTGACTCGGATTAAACACATGGTAACATAGATGCACATGATTATATATTGGACTGTTAATAGGCCACAAGAAGTTAGGCTCTTATTCTAATCTTGGCCTAGTAGAAAATCATTTCCTATCTCCAATACCAAAACCTGCGTTGTGCAACAGAAAAGTTAAAAATCAGAAGAAAAAAAAAGTTTGCTAGTGTGTTATGGAAAAGGGTGCTGACGTGTTATCCCTTTGTGAGATACACCCAATCTATAATCATCATATAATATATAAAAGTTGAAGGCATAGTGCATTGAGGGCGTCCACATGGGATTAAAAAACTCGATCTGATTGGTCCACATCAGCATATTTATTAAATAAAAAAGGTAAAGTATGATTAGGACAGAAAAACTTGATTTAATTGGTCCACATCAGCTTTTAAATCAAACCAAAAATTATTAAGTATAATTAAAACATTAAAAGTTAATTTAACAAATTATATCCAACAAAAAAAGTAAATTCAATCTGATTGATTCAAATCAACATATTTATTAAATCAGAAAATGTTAATATGGTTTAAAAATTCTATGGAAAACAGAAAATAATACCAAAATCTTAGCAAGATTATATTTCTCTAAATCAAATGTATATATACGTTAAAGTTGAATAATTCGATATATGTCATTGTTATTATTTTACCTAACAGTTTTTTGAAATTTATAAATAAAAATAGGATAAATTACACATTGTATATTAAATTCTCTTATATAAATAAAAATTTCTATAAATATATATAATTTTTTAATAATTTTAAAGATAATAGCTAAAAAAATAAACCAAAATATTAATGCAGGCAAGTTATATACCTAGTCTATACTATATAAAAGTTGATGGCATAGTGCATTGAGAACGTCCACATAGGATTAAAAAATCTCGATATGATTGGTCCACATCAACAGTTTTCATTAAACAAAAAAAAAATGCTAAAAACCTTTATTTCGTTTTAATCATGGAAAAATTAAATAAAAAATTTAAGTAACAAATAGAAAAGAAAGATATGTTAAAAACCCCAAAAAATAGTTGCTTTAAAAATAAAATAGAAATTTGTTTTCAAAAGAGTTAAACTAACAAAAAAAAAACAGATATCATAAAAGTTCACATAAGAGAAGAAATAGTTACATTAGTTTGATTTAGGTTATATTTGAAATCTATACTATATAAAAGTTGAAGGCATAGTGAATTGAGAACATCCACATAGGACGAAGAAACTCGATTTGATTGGTCCACATTAGTATTTTTTATTAAATAAAAAAAATATTAAATATGATTAGTAATTTGAATAAATTAAAATACACAAAAAGGAAAAATATTATGGTCGAATAAAAAATAAAGATAAAAAAAGTTTAACTAACAAAACAGATAAAAGAAGTTATGTCAGAAATCCAAATTTATAGCATTTGTCAAAATAAAATAGAAATTAAATGTCACAAAATCTAAACCAATAAAAAATAAATATGTAAATTTATAAAAAAAATGTTAATTTAACAAAAGAAATTTAAATAAACTTTAAATGAAAAAATTATTTAATTTTAACTTTAAACTATTAAAGAAATCAACAGAAAAAAACTAAAGCTTTAAAAGAACTATCTAAGAAAGTAATATAAAAATGAACAAAATCAAATAAAATGTAAATTATGTTTTATAAAATGTTAATACAGTTAAAATCGAAATTAATATAAAAAATATTAAAAAAATCATTGAAAAACAAATTGAGTTGATATACGCTAACTATTTAAAAATGACTATAAAAGAGTCTCATTAACAGAAAAAGAGAAAATTAACTGTAAAAATGTTAATATTTACAAAACAATTATGTTTCAAAATTAAATAAGAATTAATATAAAAAAGTAAACTAACAAAAAAAAAGTCATATGAAAAAACTAACTTAATATTTAGGCTAACATTTTTTAAAGATTAACATAAAACAAATCAATAACAGAAAGTTAAATAATAAAAGAATTTTTTTAACATATATACTTTAATTGAGTAATTTTTTAAAATTTATCTTTAAACTAACTATTAAAGAAATCAGTATAAAAATATTGCTTTAAGAAAACTAATTAAGAAATTAATATAAAAATGAACAAAACAAATAAAATATAAATTGTGTGTTTACAAAATTTTAATATAATTAAAATTGATATTAATAACAAAAATAAATATTAAAAAATCATCTAAAAATTGACTTGATATATATGGTAACTCTTTAAAAAATTTAATATAAAAGAGTCTCATTAACAGAAAAAAGAAAAGAAAATTGTTTGTAAAAATGTCAACATTTACAGAAAAAATATGTTTCAAAATTAAATAAGAATCAATATAAAAAGGTAAACTAACAACAACAAAAAAGTCATATAAAAAAACTAAACTAATATTTAGGCTAACATTTTTTGAAAACTAACATTAAAAACTTGAAAGAAAAAAACAAATTATGCAGTTATATTTTGAGAGAAGTCGACATAAGATTTAAAATGAACAGTTATAGTATGTCAAATCAAAATTATAACTAAAATAAAAACTAATATTAAAAAAGCAAATTTAAAAAAGAAAAAGCATTCAAGTAAAATTAACTTGATATCTATGCTAGCTATTTTGAGAATTAACAACCAAAAAGTTTAATCATAAAAAAAAAATCCTACGTGTATCAAACGTACAAAACAATTTATATAAATTAAACTTTATATAAATTTATTATCAAAAAATGTAAAGTAAAAGGTTTTTAAAATATTGGTATCTACAATTAATAAATATATAAAGTTGCAATAGATTTAAATAATTTTTTTATCATACATATTCTTTAAATATACAAAAGTTAATACAATAGATGCTTCTAACTTAAAAACTAACAAAAATACTACATAAGTAATTTTACACTCGAAATTTAACAAGCAGTAAAATCTGATTTATATATATATATCTATTACTTATATTTGAGCCAACATTAATAACATATGAGTAAAACCTTGTAAAATTATATTTAAATAATAAAATATGATAGAGTTAAGAATCAAACTCAAATTTATATATCTAGATAAAATATTCAAATCAAAATATGCAGAAAGCACACAAAAGATAAAAACAGTAAAAAAATATGAAGACTGCACACCAACCATCCTACAAGTTTAAAAACTAGAATTATCAAATATTAGACTGCCAAAAAAAATTATCAATGATAAAGTGAATAAACATATAAAAATAAATCTCATGGAAGACATGATGGATAAGTAGGAAACAGTTTTGTATTATCATTGCAGTTTCAAACAAAACTAAATATGAATCAATATGAATCATGAATTATACATATATGCATAGGTACACAACATCAATGAGATATTCAATCAAAAAATTAAAATTTTAATATATAAACCTTACAGAAAAAGAAATGTAGAATTTCTATGGAAATAAAACAAAACACCAAGATCTTAATAAAGAAACCTTTCTCTAAATCAAACACGTGTGCATGTCAAAATTGGATAATTTGATAAGTGTCATTGTTATTATTTTATTTAGTAAGATTAATTTTTTTATAAACAAAAAATAGGAAAAACTATATGTTGTATTTTAAATTCTCTTATATAAAAAAGAAAATTTTGTATATCTATTATAGTTTTGATAATTTTAAAAGTAATAACTAAAAAATAATTAAACCAAACTACTAATACAGTCTCGCGAGTAACACAAGTTAAAAACCTAGTTTTTATATAATAGATAAATAAACATGTTCGTTCGATGTAATTTATTCCATTCTCAATAAAATAAAATAAAAATAGTAACAGTTTATAATTTTATATCGTTCATTTTAAATAAATAAATTGCCTGTTTTGGATAACATTATTAAAAAGTTAATGGATTAACCTGCTTATTAAGAAAGAGTTTGACATGAATGTCGGCCTAGGCCCAGGCCCACTATAGTCTTAGATCTATAAGAATCTAGTTTTGGGCATTAAAAACCATTTGCTAACCCACTTAGAAGAAGCCACGTCCTTCGTCTTCCACATTCTCAGACAATCAGTAGGCGAAGTGGTTATACACAGACTCACAGAGTATCGACAAGGGCTTTCTAAGTTCTCCGAGCATTTCTGATTCTGTCTTCTGATTCCTTTTCCGGTGAAAAAATCGAGCCTCCACTAAACTCTACAGGTTTTATCCTGTTCTAAGCATTCAACATTCCAGTTTTTTTTCTAGGGTTTTGTCCCATTCTAAGCTTTCAACATTTCCAGCTTTTTTCTAGGGTTTTTATCTCTTTCCTCCGTGTGGCCATGTTTTCAACTATTACTATTTTGTTTAGTTAGTTTTGTCTTGTTTGATTAGATGTTGTATTTTATTAAGGTGTTCTCTTAAATTCATGTAAAAGGTATGGACAGAATCAGTGGATTATCCGATGAATTACTGGCTAAGATATTATCTTTTGTTCCGACATCAGTTGCTGTATCCACTAGCGTTTTGTCTAAACGATGGGAGTTTCTTTGGATGTGGGTGCCTAAACTCGAGTTCTTGAGTAATCGTTATGATTCAGAACTTGCAATTAGAGATTTCATCAACAAGAATCTGCCATTACTTAAAGCTCCGGTCGTAGAAAGCTTTCGCCTCAAATGTTTGTCTTACTCATTTCAACCAGAGGATATTACACAGTGGGTTGCAACTACGGTTTCTCGCTGCATCACTGAGCTAGAAATCGACTGTGATTATTGTTGGGGCGGCAAACCTGCTGTGTTATTGCCGAGCAGTTTGTATACCTGCGAAACGCTCGTGACTCTGAAACTTGTCGGGGGCAAGATTCTCGTGGATGTTCCTCGTACAGTCTCTCTCCCTTCATTGAAGACACTGCTTCTTGGATCTGTGACTTACTTAAATAAAGATTTTCTTCGACTGCTTCTATCGTATTGCCCTGTTCTTGAAGATCTGATTCTTGAACGAAGCGGTTTCGACAATGCGAAGGCCATAGTTATTATAAGCCAGTCCTTGCAGAGGTTAACATTACCGATAGATGGTGGAAGTTGTTGCAAGGATGAGTATGTGATTGTTACTCCTTCTTTGAAGTATTTCAAAGTTGAGGATTATAATGGAAGGTCCTCCTATATGGTCCTACATACGCCTAAGGTTGAAGAGGCAGATATCGTAGTTGAGGAATATGTGGAGATGCTCTTCGAATCTATCACATCCGTCAAACGCCTTTCGTTGTGCGTATTGTTTAACCACGAAGAAGAGGTGATAATATGTTCTCATCTATCAACATTTGGTTTTTTCTTGAGATTGAAATCTTTTGTTTGTATGTGTTGTGGTGGCGCAGTATTTGTATCATGATGGTATTTTCTTCAGTCAGCTTGAACATCTGAAGCTATGTATACGTTTTGATTATTGGTCGAAGCTGCTTTTCCGGTTGCTCCAAGATTCTCCTAAACTGCGAGTCCTCAAACTCGAAATCGCTGTATTTCTTTCTGGACTAGCCTTTATCATCTATAAGCACTCTATGGTGTAGTGTAGTTAACTCTCTCTCTCTCTGTCCTTTGTTTATCTCAGTGTAATGGACGATTTAAGGAGTATGAACCGATAAGCTGGAACAATGAGGAGAGCTCTGTTCCTCAATGTTTGTTGGAGAGCCTTGAAACTTTCGAGTTTGCAGAGATCAGGGGAAGTCAAGAAGAGAGAGATTTCGTGAGTTATATCATCAAGAATGCTCGTTGCTTGAAGTCTTCGTCAATCAAACCCTCTACCTATATAGAACCTTGGACCTCATCATCAGATAGTTGTGATGGTTAAGGAGTGTTGCTTTTTGGATTATGTATTGTAAACTTGTTTTTGTTGCCCTTGAAACGATTAGGTACTTAACCAAATGTTGAATTTCTAATGAACACAGTACCTTCTTATCATGTGTTGATTCTCCTATCTTATTTTGTTTGTAACCACATGTGAGAATAGAGAATCATTAACGATCCCAAGTTTATAACTCAATTTTCTAGAATATGACACAAAATGCTCTTATATTAGAGACTACCAAAAAAGCTCATAAAATAATGTAGAAAAAATCTTGAAAAGAAGAAGAAAAGAAGAAATTAACGGGTCTTGTGCGGTTTAGAGATTTTCTTCTTTCTCTTCTTGACAGATTTGGGTGTTTTGTTCTTCCTAGCTTCTCTCCTCTCCTCTTTCACTTTCTTCTTGTGATCTTTTCTTGCAGCTTTCTTGTCTTCAGGACCCAATTCTTCATCACTTTCACTTTCATCATCTTCTTCTTCTCCTTCACTCTCTTCTTCTTCCTCTTTTGCCTCTTCAACATCCACCTTTATTTGCGTCTCATCTATTTTAGGAAGAGCATCCTTAAGCCCTGTTATTGTTTGGTACAACATATCTCCTGTGTCCTGCCCGCTCGTTATCTTCTCAACATCAGCTTCAGGATTCTTCACAGCGTCCAGAGATTTCGGTATGTATGACTGATCATCATCATAAGAAAAACCAATAAGACACATTGATTCATAACAGGTCTGAGACATCAGTTCTATAACGACTAGATACTTCACCAACCTTCATGAATACTGAATCCGCAATTTCATCCTCTACGGATATCTCTCCTCGTTCAATAACTTTACGTTGGACCTGCCATTATTACATACTTCATCAATTTGATCTTGCCAATACCAAAAAAGTTCAAGCTTTTAAACCTCAAGCTGCCACTGGTTAAAGGATCATATTTACATACCTCTTCCAAATAGCTATCAACAGATTCGTCTGAAATTGACGGATCAACAATGAAGTCAAATAGCTCCCGTATAGTCATAACGGCTACACCATGTTTTCTGTAAAAATCCTGTCAAAAAGAAAAAATCCATACATAAGATAAGAAACCATTTTCAAGTCAAATCAAGCATTGCTAAAACAGACTAGCACTTACTGAGACGTGGTCACAATCTTCCCGTAGAAAATTGAGGGCAAGAGGATGGTCCAGATCCACAGATTGTGAAACATCAATTATATAAAGGTGTCCCTGGCAAAAGTCAAAATAATATCAATATCTTTGGTTTGGCTTTATTTTCAAATAAGTGAGCCATGTAAAACCACAGAGGCCTTTAAAGAACAAGATAACTTAAAAAACTCACCTCGAAATAAAGTATGTTATACTCACTGAGATCTCCATGCACCAATTTGCACTTCTGATACAATACTCGCATTTGAATTATCAACTGAAAAGCAAAAACCAAAAGATGTGAGTGAGTTCCCAATATGATAGCGATAAGACCATCAGAGATTCATCGTGGCTCTAAAAGTAAAGTATTACAATAAGACACTCAAGAACCGTCTATATGAGAAAAATAAGCCACTCGCATACCTCTAGATACGTCTCCCTTAACTTGTCCAGTGATAATGCAGCATCCTTGAGACGCGGTGCAGCCCAACCATCCCTTCCTGCAAATATATATACGTAAGACAATCTTAGTAAGTCTGAAACAGCAATAGCATCACTTCAGTGACCAAAACCAACAGACAGTGCATTAAAAACGAACCTATAAACTCCATGACTAGAACATGAAGTCGTAGAAGGATAGGAACTGGACACCTAATTCCTGCTGCCTGAAGCCTGCCAAATGAAAACATGTATATAAACAACTAAGGAGTGACAAAGTTACTGTCACACAGAAATCGAAACAAGTAACTATATCTACGACTTTGGTTTGTAAACAAAATCTGTTAACTTACATTAACCAGGTTTCATATGTATTAAGAGACGAGCAGAACGAATTGTAGGGTTTACCTTTTAAGATTTCTGTGTTCCTTTTCAGCCCATGTCTTCACCATCTTACGGGGGTTGTGGCGACAGTAGCCATGTCTAAAACGGTAATCTCCTTGTACATACCGATCTCGATCCCTGAAATCATCAAAGTTGTAAACAGAGTTCAGTAACAAAAACAATCAAAGCCAAAAACTTTTCAGCGAAAATGTTATATATCACTGTATTAGCTCACTTGAAAACAAGAACGGATGTCTTGTACACTTTTATTGCAAGTTCCGCACCGTCAGATTTCGTAGCATGATAAACATTTGCCTGAAATATATGATAAGCGAAACGTTGTTAACAGAGGAATCCAAACAAGTGCTACCTAAGACCATTAAGTATTGAGTAGCAGTGAATGTGACATACTTCTTTGCCTGTTGAAATACAGCCATTAACATCATTGAACACACCCCTATTAAGCATCCTGAACAAAACCATACGTGTTCTCGGATCAAGAGCCTGGAACAAAGAACAAACACAAACAACATCAGCACCACACTGCGGAAAACACTTTGACAATGCATCAGATTGTTTAGCAATTAAGCTTCTACCTGTTCAACTGTTGCTCTATCTGCTTTATCAGTGTTTCTGCTTCTTCCAATTTCCGTATCTCTGAGACTTCCACGAATCGCAGTCGTTACAGAATTCGACATTCCAACTTTATCTCTGCCTTCCCATCCCTGCGTCCGCAATCAAATCGCATCAGTTTCATGACACATAAAACCATATAAACACAATGTGCATTTGAGCAGAGACAAAGCAGACTCAGAAGATTATTCAAATTACAATCTCTGACAAAAAAAAAAATCAAACTTTAAAACCTAGTCAACTCATATCAGCTTCCAGGTACATAAACCCTATAAACCCAATGTGCATTTGAGCAGAAACTAAGAGCAGTCTAGAAGATTATTCATATCATAATCTTTCACAAAAATTTCCAAACTTTAAATTCTAATAAACTCCTATCAGTCTCCAGATACATAAACCTTATTTACCCAATGTGCAAATGAGCAGAGAGTAAGAGCAGACTCAGAAGATTATTCAAATTATAATCTTTGACAAAAATTTCCAAACTTTAAATTCTAATCAACTCATATCAGTCTCCCGATACTTTACCCTATAAACCAAATGTGCAAATGAGTAGAGACTAAGAGCAGGCTCAGAAGATCATTCAAATTACAATCTTTGACAAAAAAAATCCCAATCTTTAAATCCTAATCAAACTCATAGCAGTCTCCAGATACATAAACCCTCTAAAATCAATGTGCAAATGAGCAGAGACTAAGAGCAGACTCAGAAGATTATTCAAATCATAATCTTTCACAAAATTTTCCAAACTTTAAATTTTAATAAACTCGTATCAGTCTCCAGATACTTTAACCTTAGTAACCCAATGTACAAATGAGCAGAGACTAAGAGCAGACTCAGAAGATTAATCTCAAATCATAATCTTTGACAAAAAGTTCAAAAATTTACATCTAAATGTTCAAAATTCGGATGCAAAACAAACACCTAACATCAAATCAATAAAATCCAGTAACAGCCATGTTGCACGAGAAAGCTAAATATCATACTAATAGATGAAATTAAAAACTATAAAACCTCATTTGGTAAGAGCAACAGAAACTGAAGACTTTTAGAGCTCAAAAGGAGGAGAGAACGTCACCTCCAAAGGGGAAGCACGGACGTGACTAGAAAGCTTCTGCGCCTTGTTTGAAATAGGCTGAAGAGCGCTGGAATTAGGACGAGCTCCATGTCCACCGTGGGCATTAGGGCGACGCGCGTGGAGAGAGAACCCACCACCAATGAGCTCGTCATCGTCTTTACCGTCGAGCCAGTCAAGAGCTTCACCGATATCGGAATCTGACGAAAGAGAGAGATCGTCGTCGTCATCATCTTCAATCTCCTTTTCGAATTCCATAACAACCGGAGGAATAACCTGCGGCGGCTCTGCTACAACTTCCTCCATTGATTTTTTTTTTCAAGCGAAGCGGCAAGATACCGGCGAACTGCGAGAAACAGAGGAAGAAATATCTCTGCTCGAAACCCTTTTTGTCATTTACTCTGTCCACACCGACGTCGTTTTTATATAGACTATGATTTTTGGAGTCCTTAAACTTATTTTCCGGTTCAATTTGGTGGATTTGGCGGTTCGGCTTTTATCTATTAATTTTTTTGTGGTAAACTAATGAGATAATTACAGCTACTAGTGAACTTTCTTTTGTGTTGTTTTGGAGATTGATTTTAAAAATCCCTAAAATACCCTAAATTAATATTTAGTTTATTTTGTATTGGTCATCTCTTTCTTCTTTTTCATCTCCTCCTTCGCAAAATCCAGATTTGCCATCTCTTTCTTCTTCTTCTTCATCTCTTCCTTCCTATCCCATCTTTACTTTCTTTGAGCAATCATTCTTACAACCGCAGTAAAGTTTTCTAATAACCCAATTTAGATTTATCACCTCTTCATTTTTTTTTCATTTTTTTACCAGAAAGTTTCTCCTTCAATTTTGAATAAGTAAAAGATGAACAGATTTCGATTCGCTGATTCGAGTTTCTGAGATCAATCAGCTTCGAAATTGCCCAGTTCCTGTGAAGCTTCCTCAATCTCTCCGCCTAAGATGTCAGTCCACCAAATACTGACCATGCAATCTTGTCCATCGAGGTTCGAATCTCTGAAGCCATCCAGTTCCCATGAAGCTTCCTCAATCTCTCCGCCTAAGATGTCCGTCACAGATCTGGGCTTGTCCACCAAATACTGACCATGCAATCTTGTCAACCGAGGTTCGAACCTCTGAAGCCATTTATGGAGTGGTCGAATCTTTTGATTGATGTTCGAATCTCTCAACCCATCTATATGTATTGATATGTGTCCATTGATGACTGTCTATTACAAATCTAATCCATGAACACAATTTCATTATATCTTATTTTGTCTTTATTTGTTACAATTCATAGACAAGTAAGTGTTCAGAAACATCCATCTATCAATGATTGTCCATCTATCCACCAATGCTACCCAAAATTGTAACGCTGATGAAATTACATTCTCTTTAGCGTTCTGAAAAGTTTTTTGAATTTACCGTCATAAAGTTTGTTGAATTTATCAAGTTTGATTTTTTTAACAGATAAATAAAAAAAAACTTCACCCAATATAGAAAGGAAAACTAATAGGTTACTAAAAATAATCTAGTCTTCTTATCTATTCAAAGTGCACCAATCTTTTAAAGTGCCTTTAGATGTAATAGAAAACTGGAAAAGTACTTTCCAATGTAGTTAACTTGTAAACTAATGATTTACTAGGTGATCGGATGTATCCATAGTATAAAATATTTTATATATTCAATTATGATTAATATAGTATTAAATATTTTTTATTTGTATATAATTAATTATTTATTGATAATAAAATAATAAATATTTAATAAAAAAATAACGATAAATTAAATATAAAATATTATTTATTTAAATAAAAATAAAGATAAAAAATACCAACTAAGATTTTAAAATATTTTTTTAGATAAAAATATAAATATAATAACTATAAAAATGAGATAATATTAAAATATATAAAATTTTTTTTTTTTTTTTTTTGGTCCGTACGCATGTACAATTATAATTTTTTATAAACATAATTAGTTGTAATATTAAAGTATTTATTAATTTTCTTATACATTATGTAAATGTTATGTTTTTATACATATACAATTTATTGTTTAACAACAATCACACATATGTTTCATACGTTTTGCGTCTTTTGAAAACTTTTTATTTTTCCTAGCGTTTAAAGTAACATATAATTACAAATGTAAAATATATATTAAATAATAATTAAATTTTTATAATATGTTTTTGAATATTATCTATATACTACTTTTTTTTTCTCTTTACATAATATAATCTTGCCAAGACATATATATTTTAAGTATACATTTTTTTTTCACTTATTGCTAATTAAACCAAAATGAATTTTAGCATATTTATTTATCCTAAGAACGGATAGATGGTTGGTCCGCACATTCGTACATACCAACCACTTCACCACTCTTATGACATATAAATATGTTTTTATAATATATTATCTAACAACTAAAATTAAAATTAGAGTGTACTTGAAGTTAACAAAATGTGTGCACAACAAATTTGCATGCGAGTTTGACTTTTGCACAATTAATATTTATATCTACACACATATTTGTAAAAAAATTGAAGTATGGCTTTTATGTGTTAAAAGAAAATAACAAAATATATGTTTTATAATATATATTTTTATAGCATATGGTTGATTTTTAACAAAATAATAAGTATATTCATATATGTAGGTATAAGTTAGAAATAAGTGAATTGTAATATTTAGGTGTTGGTAAGTTTTTTTTTAGTATTTTCCACAAACGTTATGTTTTTACATGATGCAGTTATTGGCGTTTAACAACAATCACGAAAACCGTTTCTATCGTTTTGTATTTAATCATTTTTTTTTTTTCAGTGTTTTATGATATATGGTTTCTCAATAAAATTATTATAAATTTATTATAAGATTTTTAAAATCATATTTTATAAAACATTTTGGTAGGTCTCCGCTCATCTATTCGTCAAATATTTTATAATCCGCAATCGCTCGCTTTCACAAACTCTCTGTAACCAAATTGTTTAAACCAATCGAATACTTATATGTTTATGATTTAAGGTGTAAAATAATATATTAATATTTGATTGTTATTAAAAATTAAGAGTTGATATGTTTCTAACTTTAATATATTTGTTAATATAAAATATAATATATCACAACATATACAAAACTTGATTCATAAAATAATATTTCAATATTTTAGAAAAATATATGCATGACAGAATTAATATATGTAAGTTAATATTTTTAAATATTTCAAATAAAAACTTAAAATCTGATCAAAATTATTCTTATTTATTTTTTTATCTTCTTTGACTCATACTTTTTTTATTAACATTTAATAATATATTAGATATTAAGATCATCTCTAATGTATTTTTTTATTTTTTTCTTTAAAATATAAGTGGACTTCTCTTCAACCTATTTCTACAGGGAAAAAAAGTTGTTATTTTTTCCTCTATAATTGGAGGACAAAATAACAACCTTTATTTTTCCATTAAATTAAAATATTTAAAATAAAGATGGGTTGGAGATGCTTTAAACCAAAAATATAGCATGAGGTTTTTACATAAAACCAAAGTCGTAAAGATTCATTTTTACTTCTACTTCTACTTTTTATTCATATATACAATATTATAATAAAAAAAGTTAGCTAATAGGATACTTAAATTTTATTTTTCTATATGTTTATTCTTTTTGTTTTATTTATAATTTTGAATTCTTGCTATATAATGAGATTTCATTCATATATTATATAAACTATTTTTTATTTAAAAATGAGATTTATTTAGTTTAACTCAACCAATCAAAATATTTCGTTTATTTTTGGAAATTTTTCATGTCACATTTATGAGGTGGTATTGTTTTGCACTAATTTTTCTTAAAGTGTTAGACACATAGAATTTTTTTAGTAAACCTGCTTCTCAAATAATAGTTAGGATATGAAAAAAGCAAAAAAGAGTTTAAGAGATATAAACTTCAGAGAAAGAGAGAGAGAGAGAGAGAGAGAGAGAGAGAGAGAGAGAGAGAGAGAGAGAGAGAGAGAGAGAGAGAGATGAACATAAGAACTTCATTTTTTTTTCTTCTGAACTTATGATTTTATAAAGACTGAAGTCACATATTTATAAAAAAAATATTATTTATTACCGAAGTAAGCTAACCCAAGACAAAGTAAATGGATAAACACTATCCATTTAACATGCTAATGTATAAAGATAAAACATATCGATAAGCATTATCTTTTAATAAGTTAATGTTTAAAGATAAAAGATGAATGGATAATCATCCATTTATAATACTCCACCTTGATTATCCATCATTGATGGTGTATTATGTATCACCTCATTAAAAAAAATTATCATGGAAAATCCCAATTGGGAAAAAAACCATGACGAGGAAAATTAGTGCAGTAACGCTCCCCCTCAAAATGTTGCCTGAGTATCCATCATTGTAAAGTTGCGTGTTTTCGTTAAAAAAAAATTCATGGAAAAACCCAGTAGGACAAAAATCATGATAAAGGGAAAAAGAGTATAGCAATAGCAAACTCCCCTGGAAAAGATGGATCTCATTCTTTCTTATAGATTTCATAGATGCTGCATTCCGATACTACGAACATGCTTCTTGAATATTGTAGTATGAAGCGCTTCTGTGAAGATATCAGTTGCATTGTCACTTGAACGAACATACTCAATATCCACTACTTTATTCTTCTCGAGCTCTTAAGTATATGAGAAAAATCTTGGTGGGATATGCTTCGTTCTATCGCTCTTGATATAGCCTTCTTTAATTTGAGCGACATAAGTAGCATTATCTTCAAACACGCATTCTCTGCATACTTCATGAAGCGAAATAATCTCCGCATAATTTAAAGAAGTTGCAACCAAAGTTTGCTTTTATGATCGCCAAGAGATCGCAGTTCCACCAAATTTGAAAACATATCCAATTTGCAATCGAGCTTTATATGGATCAGATAGATATACTGCATCTGAAAAACCAACTAGACCAACTTCGGGGTTTCTAGAATAATATAATCCAAATTCAGTCGATCCTTGAAGATAACAGAATATATACTTTATTCCATTGCAATGCCGGCGCGTTGGTGATGAACTATACCTTGCAAGTAAGTTAGTAGCAAAAGCTATATCTGGTCAAGTACAGTTTGCAAGATACATAAGGGCACTGATAGCGCTCACATATGGCATTTCATGACCTAATATTTCTGTGTTATCTTCACCAGATCGAAATGGATCCTTGTTGACATTAAGTGGTCTATTGACCACTGGAGTACTCAAAAGAGTCGCTTTTTCTATACTAAAACGTTTCAACACCCTTCTGGTGTAGTT